AAAAAAAAAAACAACCCTAAAAAACTAGATCTGTGTTCTCCAACTCACCAGATAGGTCTGATGGGGACCTCAGCTCCAGAGCACACTGGCTGCTCTTTGGGGATGAGACAGCTGTGGATGGTTACAGCACCTTCACCAAATCTTGAAGCATATTGGCCAATTCTATCTTCAGCTTCAAGTCAAAGGAATTGTGCTGAGACACTGACTTCAGTTACCTTAATAAATGGAGATGAATCACATTTCACTCAACTCTGGACACCAGAGTTCAACACCTAAGATAGCCATCCGATGCTCTGTTTATAGTCAGTGGATGGAATATGACACCTCCAGAGAACCCTTCGTCTGGTCTATTTTAGAACAAGGTGAATCCTCCCCACGTGATGACCCATGACAACTCGGGCTTGAAAGTCTTTTGCACACCTAAACCAGGGCACCTGAATCTCAGTCACAAATAGCATTGTGCCAATTCACAATTTCTACTTTTTTTTCAGCATTTTAGGAAATGCTTGGCATCAAGCAAAGCACACACTGAAGGATTTTCAGGCATGGCTGGCAGCAAAAACTCTTTAAGTCATGGCTCCCTTCCACCAAACATATAGAGTTCATGCTTAAGAAACACCCATATTTCAGTAACCTATTTGCTATAAAAGTATTTTCTATTAATAAAGCATCATTTGTCTCTGTTGCTATCCAAGGAGTGTATGCATTAATGTTATCTTACCTTAACCTTTTCTTTTTAAACTTTATGTTTTGGTGTTTGCTTTCTCTCATAATTTTGTGTAAATATACATCAAGGATTATGTTAAATTAGAAAAAAAAAACCCACAACAGAAACAAGATTATATATATATTATATAAATAATGTATATTATGTCATATATAAGTTTATGCTAGTCTATCAGTGGGGGCAGAGCTGTAGGGTGAAATACTTGGCATTAAGAGAGAGCTTTCATATTACTTTTTTGAGTCTTCTACTTCAGGTTATCTTCAATCAGATCCTGTGGAAGGAATTAGCACTTGGAGAACATCATGTGAGTGCCCAGAGTGATCTGTCCTCCAGCTTGGTTTCATTTGAAATGAAACCTGTTGATGCATGCACTCTGATGTGAAAAGCGCAGCAAGAGTGGATTACAGGATGTTTGCTGCAGAAGTGCACTCCCGTTTTAACACACTAATGCACATGCATCCATGGTTCTTCAGAAAAGGAGGAAAGCCTGCAACCCTGGTTCTTACCCCACAGCATTGCACTTCCTCAGCTTTTTTTTTTTTTTCTTCCCAGTTTTTATCAGAATTTTCATACCCTGACATTTTGAAAGTGATAGAATCATACTCACAGTTTATCTTATCTACATATTTAAAAGATGAACAGTGAAAAAAAATAATCGATAGCAGCAGCACATAGGGAATTCATAATTTTGGGGCAGCAATCTGATCTGCATAGATATGCTTGGATGAAATTGCAGCATACTTTGAGAACCCGATAAAATTTTCAAATATTTACACACTGATCCAGGCAAGTTCCCAGATGTATGAGCTATGGAGCTTCCCGCTGTACTGCCCAGGATCCAAATGCACTTGGTCACAAACAGAGCACTGGAGACAAATACGCTCATCCTAAAGCACACACAGACAGGTACTCCTCCATTGAGGTTAGTGGCTGTAAAGTTATTATATACATTAGCAGAACTTGCTATCCTTTACAGTACTACCCAGCATGGTTGGACTGCAAAGAAAACATTCTAAGAAATCAGAAAACAAAAACCATCTGATTTTGTCATCGGGTATTTTATGAATTTTTCTTTTTTTAAGTAGTGCAAGCAATTCAGAAAAAAATGCCCAAGAATTTCCTTTTAAGGGCTTTCCTTTCCCAGCTGAAGCAGAGCACTCACTCCTTAGGGGATTAGCTCACACATATTCAACTTCTACATACACGTAATATTACACTTCTCTCCTGATCGTTGTTGTTTTTTGTTGGTTTTTTTGTTTGTTTGTTTGTTTTAATTACTGTTTATATTCTTCCATTTTCAAAGACAAGGCTGCAAAGACTGTTGCAACTTAAGCCCATCTCCAAGATAATAGTGATAGGACAAGAAGTGAAGAGACCAGCCCCCACCTGACCACAACCTCCTTTCAGGGAGTTGTACAGAGCAATAAAGTCTCCCCTGAATCTCCTCTTCTCCAGACTGAACAACCCCAGTTTGCTCAGCCACTTCTCTTAAGACTTGTGCTCCAGATCCTTACTCATTACCCTTCTCTGGTTATGCTCAAAGGCTTCAATGTCTTTTTTGCGGCAAGGGGCTCAAACCTCAACACAGTACTTGAGGTGTAGACCCATCATTGCTTTGCAGAAAGCCTCAGTGCAACATAGAGACCAGAAGCTGCCTGAGGCCACGGTGCTGCAAGGAGCAGCACCAAGGCAGGAGGACTGAAGCACTACGATCACGTTGTTGTTGGTTCTGTTTTGGTAAGCACTGTGTTGATGGGAAAAGCCAGTGCTACAACAGGTGACAGAAGCCTCACAGAGCAGAACATCTTGAGAGGTTTGTAACAGATTTCAATGCTACTTCTCATCCTCATTTGCTGATGCCAGACTTGAGATAGCTGAAAATGAAGCTCTCTAAACACTCTGTATTTAGCCCACGTACAATATGGTTTAACCCACACACAGTCTGGATTTCTCAACAGTGAAAAGCACCAATAGCTGAACTGCTTTCCTGAGAGCTGCAAGGAGCACTGGTGGGTGCTGAGGAGTCAAAAATCAGCCTTGGGAAGATTCAGCTTCCACTTCCTTACACTGCAACCCTTGGACCTTTATCCAAACCAAACACACAACAGAGCATGAATGATGCCACTGACATAACTGTAGATCCAAGGAACTGATAAGAAGGAGATCTGTAGTTAATAAGGTGTGCTGGGAAGTTGCTAATTAGAACTGAGAATGTGAATTGTAAGTGCTACAGCCAGTCAGAACCAAGATGCAGTGTAATATTTGAGAAGAAAAAAATCAGAGCATTTCTCTTCAGACATTTAATGGTCAGTTGAGGGTTTTCACATTTTAAATTTAAAAGCCAGGACTATAAAAGACCACTCATCACTGAAGTGGCCAGCTGTGTTCCTAGGTGCATGCAAAATGAGGTACTATGTCCTGCGGAACTACTGTGACTTGCTTTGTGCTTAAGACTTTTATAGGAGTATCATGAAATAATTGTAATGCTATACAGAAAAAGGCAAAGATTATCACCTGACCAAAGCATGATACAACAGATCCTATCTAATTCATAGCAAATATAGCTTTATATTACAATCAGTTAGATCCCTAGAAACATTAAGTTTGGAAAAGACCTCTAAGATCATCTAGTCCAACCATCAGTCCATCACCACCATGCCCCTCAGTGTCACATCCAATTGTTCTCAAACACCTCCACAGATGGTGACTCCACCATCTCTGTGGGCAGGCTACTTCCAGTGCTATACTTTGTGAGTAGAAATTTTTCCCTTCTAATTTTTGGTGATGAAACAATCCAACCATTTGAAAACTACGTATTTAGGAGGACAGTATGCATTGCTAACACAATGTCATAGAACTCATTGAAGGTGAGGATAATGTCTTCATGTTTTTTTTGTGATAACACGAACTTGATCTAATAACAAACTTGCTTAACTTCCAAATATTAAGGCAAACTCCAGAGCCTAAGTGTGCATTATGCAAAGAAAAAAGAAACTGAAGACAAACACACTGGGGAACATGAGCAGCCAGCAGTTTGAGGTTTGTGTGCCCAAACTGGTAAGTGTACAAGATGCAAATTCACAGAAGGCAAGAATTAATCAGATGATTCACAAGCAAAGGAACGCTCACATTTGCCAGATTTTTGCCTTGTCAAAACTAGAAATCATATAGACACACAGAACTGTTTGAAAGGGCCCTTCGAGGCTATCTAGTCCCACTCCCTTGCAATAAGCAGGAACCTACAGCTAGATCAGGAAGCTCAGAGTCATGTCCTGCCCTCCAACCAATTTTGTAAACTGACCGTAAGATATTTGATGGTCCAGGAAGTATGCAGAAGGTAGCTGTAAAGCAACATCTGCTTCAGTGAAGGTGTCAAGTTTTTTTTTTATTTTTTTTTAAATCTGTTTTTCATTGAAAGATTATGGTCTAAAAAAGGGTGATACCATGGGCCTGAAGGTGAGAAGCTGCGTCCAGTTACAGCACAAGAACCAACAGAACAAGGGAACAGAACAAGAGAACAAGGGAACAGAACAAGAGAAGTGGAGCTCCAGCAGAAACAGGGATGCAGCTCACAGAACAGACAAGCGAGCAGCTAAAAGCCGTTTCTGATCATATATTAGCATAAAAATTCACCTGACATGGAAATACAAACTTTGTGCCGTTATGGCCTATTATTTACCAACAGTATTTGAAATAGACCATGGAAAGGTGACCGGCAAGTTCTGTTTCCTTCTTACTATTTTAACCTGAGAAAGCCACTGATAACACAGCACAGTTCTTTAGAATGAAGAAAGGAAAAACCCAGCCCAGAGTAATTACCCGGAGCAGCGGAGAGGCAGGTGGATGCAGACAGTTTCCCCGCGTTGCTCGTTAATCCTCCTGCACACAGCGCAGGGCCATAAAGGCACGGGAGCGCTCCACGGAGGGAACACCGCGGGGCACTGGGCAGCGCTGCCAACACTCCTCCCCACCAGCAGCGATGCAGACGGGTGCGGGAAACGAGGAAGGCCGGCTGGAACACGACCCAAACGGCCGTGCCGAGGAGCAGCACCACGAACCCAGCAGGAAAACGCACCGCAATAGAGGGGGACGAGTCTCCGCTCTACGAGAGCAGAGCGGTGCCCGAGGGAAGCCCAGCCAGCAGAGAACAAGCTCGGTGGAGGCAGCCGCCCCAGCACCCGGCCCGGGCCCACCTGAGCTGAGTCCAGCTCCAGCTCCAGCTCCCACCTTCCCTCAACCTGCCGAGCCGGGCAGCCGCTCCCCAGTCACCTACCTGTGGGAGTGCAGCAGCCGCTCCTCGAGGCTGCCGCCCGCCGCGAGCACGGCACAGCACGGCCAGGGGAGAAGGTGGAGGAGGCGGCGGCGCACTCGGCGCGGCCCTCGGCCCGCCCCACCGGGGCACCGGCATCGCGGGACCGCCGCCATTGGGCGTTCGCCGGCGGCGCGGGGGCGGTGGCATCGCCTCCGCATTGGCCGCGGGCGCCGCAGCTCCGCCTCTCCCCGGCCACGGCTCGGCGCTGGTGCCGGCCTGAGGCGAGGGGAACCCCAGGGAGATGGCAAGTGAGTGTATGCAGGCTGTAATTTTTAACCCTACCTCAGCGCCAAGGCTTTTAATCAAAGGAACTTGCGGACATGCAACACGGGCACCGCGCACAAACACGTGCGCAGGTGCTCGTGCGCGAGCCGCACCCCTCAACTGATTTGGGGAATTGCTCCCGCGAGCTCAGGAAGCACCACTTACTGGACAGCTTCCTTGCAAATTGGAACTTACAAGCTGAAAAATGTTAATAACCGTAAACACTATAATCATGCAAATGTTAACAACCTTAATTAGTACCAGAGTCACTGAAGAGAAAAAAAAAAGTTACGTAAGTTTGAAACCAGATCACCTGAGGAGAAGCGTTGTTGCAGAACACCAGGAATTCTGAAAGGAGCAGCAAGCACCACAGGGCCACCCTGTAAAGCACGGCGCGTGGCAAAGGGCACAGCTGGTTCAGCTCGTCCAGTGCTTGCCCTTCAGGAGTTCCCAAAGGGGCCACAGTTGGCAGCTAGCAGAGATCCATGCTCTAAAGGACTGCAAAGGCTGTCAGCCCCTTCCCGGTTCTGGTCAATCCTTGAGCTTCATTTCTTCTTTTTTCGTCTTTTTGTTTTCCAAACAGAATCAGAATTAGCCATTACAGACTAACTTTTCTCAGCAGCACTGAGACTGTAAGCACACCAGCAGGAGCAGTCCTAGTGGCAGTGATCACCCTACCTCACACTATAAAGCCAGCAGCACCAGGCTGTGCTTATCAGTCAGGTTGTAATGAAGGCTCGGCATCAGAAGACTGCCCTTTTCTCTCTCAACATTGTTTACTGACAGATTTTAGACAGTTTAAAGGTTGACAAAAAGCATATTCCTAAACTTAAAAAAATCATCCAAAGAAAAAGGTTTGCATGTAACATGCCACTTTTGAGTGAACAATAGGTGAAGTTCTCTGAAGCACTGATCTCTTTTTCAGTAAACCAATGTTGCTGGATTCAGCAGTTTAAAATAGAGGGAAGCTATAGGTTTATAGCATTTTATATATATTGCTATAGGTTTAGAGTATTTTATTATCTTCAATTATTTAGTCCATTACAATTATTACTCCTTTACCACAGCATCAGACAACACCATTATGTAACACCATTTAACTGTTATTATACTTAACCATTATTCTATTCAGACTTGCAAGATGATTCACTAAGCTTTTGTTCTCCAAATGCATTTACCTGTGGGATCCAGAATGCAAGGACCAGCAAGTAAAACACATCCTACAGATTCTGATTCTTTCTAAGCATAACCAGGATTAAAAGCATGGAACCTCAAACCAAAGCATTTCAATTATACATTAAGTTTCTAGTTGAAAACTGCTATTTACACAATAGAAAAAGAGAAGTTAGAACAGACTTTTTTTTTTTTTTCTCTCCTAAAAGCAGGAGATGTTAAAATTTATTTTTATTTCTTAATTTTTAATTCAAACACCTCAAAGAGCCTTGTTTACTTACTTAGGATGGTTTGGATTTGAAGAACAAAGGTTGTGTCCTTCAGTTTTCTGATATATATCATAATGTTGCCTGTTAGCCATAGAAATACAGTATTCTCCTCTTGGTATTCTGATCTATGTTGCAGGCAAATTTAGCAGATGAGACTACAGGGTTAGAGCATTTGAGATCATAACACTGAATGGTAGTACTGACCAGCTAAAGGCTAGAATCATTCTGAATCCTATTTAAGTACATACACTCTCACTTCTTAATTTTTATTTATTTATTTGTTTTTAACTCAGTAGTATTTTTATTTTTTTTAAATAGATTCGGGATATTTCATTTTAAAGATGACACTGCACTGCATTTAAAAAAAAAGACAAAAAACTTCTTAAGCTCCTTTATTCCCATCCAAAACAGTGATACTCAAGCAAATTTCTCTGCAGATTTAACTGAGTTGAATCAGTTCACAGGGTCAAATATATTTCATTTCATTAAGTTAAGCAAGGAAATGCCATTGTAACTTCTGGAGAGTGATTTAACCCTCTGTGGTACACCAGAAGAGGCCAATCTCAGAACCATACTGAAGCACAGCCAGAGCTTTAAACACCAATGTGCACCTGCCTCCAAATAAATAAATCTGTACTTCGCTCATCTGTTTATACCACATCCCAAGGAGTACAGCCACACAGAAATATTCATGCATGTGCCTCAGCTCAGAGGCTGAGATTATACAGAACAGTAAGATAAAATACACAAGATCACCTGCTTAACTCCCTTGCGTTGTACACAAATGGATGTGGATAAGAGGTCTTTGCTTCAGCTAACACAGGCAAACATGAACAATCATGTGCTTCAAGAGAGAATAACGTGGACTGGATATAAGCAGAACATGTTCTGAGAGGAGTTTAAATCCACTAACTTCAAAAAAGTGCCGTTCCCATTATGACAAGCTATCACCTTCATTTCCCATTCCTAGATTGGGCATTTTCAGAAGGAAAGATGTTGCTCAGATACCCAGGCATCCTTGTTTTGTCCTGTAAGAGTAAACCACTGTAATCAGTAGCCACAGAGTTAGCTGTGATGTGAGCACATGAGAAGATTGCAGAATAGTAGTGCTACAAGTGCTACGGTCAGTGTAAAAATTAGGAAGCATTAAATTTTTTTTTTTGTAAAAGTGAGAAGCAAAAGGATTGTTAAAGAGAAATTCATTTATATGACTTGAAAACTTCCTTCCTGTAGCTGCAGGAAAATCTCACAGTACCACAGAGCTCTCCAAGGACTAATGAGATGCTACATTAGAAAAGTTTAAAAAAGTGGTTTATTTTTAGTTTGTAAAGTGATTCATTTTCTTCCAGCTATTCATTTTCAGTATTTACCATAGAGGTTTTCAGTTTTGAGCCAAAATATAAATAGATGAGAGCTATGTTTTATGAGGCTAAACATACACCAGAAACATTTAAAAATATTTCACATGAATTTATGAACTAAAAGTGACAAATGTAGTGAAGATCAAAGTTCCAGGGGCTTTTAAAGTCAACATGACATTTAGACTCTCTCAAACAAGTATTAGAAACTCCACACGTGCAACTTTTTTCTTGCATCTCAATGGAGCTCTTCACTGAATATGCAAGACATCAGAGTAGGAAAACAGTTAACATATTGTCATATTCACTAAAATAGTTAATTCAGAGCCTCTTTTTTCTTCTTCTGAGAAATGCCTGCCTGGTTATACCCTTTATCTTCTACTGAAGCTCGTATTCCTAGTAAGACATTCAGGAAGGCTGTTTGTTTAGCAAAGTAGCAGAAAAAGCCAACACAGCTGTGCATAGTGAGATCACTACATTTATCTCACTGGGTTTGAATTCTCTTACTATAGGCACCTCCCATCTGTGCAATGTTTCTCAGAGAAAAACAACCAAAGCAAACAAAAAACTAATCGTGAAGATCAGTCCAATTGCATAAAAACCTTGTAATACACCAATAATCAACTTTGGAATTGACTGCAGGATTTATACATATTTTTGCATAGCTATTATTCCTGATGGACTGTCCAGTCCAACAATCAAGTTGATAAGAACCAGAGAAAATTAATCACTACATCAAAATTTAACCTAAGTCCTCCCCACACCATAGCAACAACAGTGAAGATTATTGACTACTGGAAAATTCACCAAGCATATAAATTAATTTCAAAGAATCACAGAACTGCAGGAGTTGGAAGGGATCTGGGATCTGATGAAATAATAGAGTCCAACCTCCCCACTAAAGCAGGTACCCTACAGTAGATCGCACAGGTAGGCATACAGTCAGGTCTTGAATATCTCCATACAAGGAGATGACACAACCTCTCTGGGGGCAACTGTTCCACCCTGGTTTCTTTTAAACTTCAAAAAAAAAAAAAAAAAAAAAAAAAAAAAAAGTGTAGTTATTTTCCCTCTCCACTTCAAGCACAACATAAGAACACATCATTTTAACTTAGTACTGTAGAAGAATAATGTAGAAGATATAGGAGAGGGCAACTTTTAAACTGACTTACCACAACTGAGTAGTTTGGAATTAAGTAGTACTTAATTCTTGATTTGTAAAGCAAGTTCTGAGGCAGCTGCCAACAAGTACTTAACTCCTCTCAAGATATCCATGATTTCACAGTTTCTGAAGGTACAGGAATTTCTCATTTTTGATTTCTGGAGTATCTCCCTGTGGGGCACCGGTTGATATCTGATGCCCCCTAGTGGCTGCAGGCAAACATCCCAGGTAGAAACAATTCTCCAGCAATTAATAAAAAAAAAAGAGCAATATCAATATGAGCCTTGCACAGAAATGACCAACATGCCATAGAAAATCCAGAAAGTCTACTTATACGCTACCTTATAGCCGTGATTGGAAATGAAAAGGACTTTCAAGAAGAAATAACCTGAGACAGGAAACATGGAAAGTGTCAGAAGAGTGAAATAAATTTAAGTATTTTTAACTTTTAAAAAGTTGTTCTTAAAGTTTTAGAAATGTCAGTGTAAAAAAAAATAGATATTTAAAAAAAAACAACCAGAAATTTCACTTTCAAAGAAGTAAAAGTATGAGCAACTACTTCCATAAGTGAACTGCTTGAAATATCACTGTGCTTAGAATCCTAAGTTTACCAGACTAACAAACAATGATGTATTTCAAGGTGAAAGCATTCCCTCAGATGTACTACAGAATCCAATGACTATGCTACAGAAGTTAAGCTGTGTTTACCACTTGCTACCTGAACTACAGTGGTTCTCCAATTCAACATACTTCTCTTTCCTGTAAACAAAAGATCATAGAATGGCTTGGGTTGGAAGGGATGGCAAGGATCATGAATCTCCAATCCCTCTGCCACAGGCAGGGCCACCAACCTACATATTTAATACTAGACCAGGCTGCCCAGGGCCCCATCAACCTGGCCTTGAATACCTCCAAGGATGGGGCATCCACAACCTCTCTGGGAAGCCTCTTCCAGCACCTCACCACTCTCATAGTAAAGAACTTCCCCCAGTATCTAATCTAAATCTTCACTGTTTCAACTTAAAACCATTTCCGCTTGTAAAGATGACAAACCATTCGCTAACTGGATAAGTAGAACTCCAGCTTAGCTTTTGAGGAAGCTCTCTCCCCTTCTTCCCCCCCAGTAAAAGGACGAGAATCTTCTACTTCTCCCACGACAGAAAACAGTGATCTCTTGCTTACAGGCTTGTCAACTTGTAGCTCAAGCTTAGTGAGCTTTGTTTTGTACATCAGGCTTAAGCTGGTTTTAGTATCAGCAGTTATATTTTGTTAGCTACCTGCAGCAAGTGCTACTGGCAGCAGCTTTAGCTACTTAGAACTACTTTTTTTCCACACTCCCCAGACACATTCATATACCCACTTGCCACACACAGTCCAGATGCAGCATATACTAGAAAAAAGCATCACACAGAGAAGACAAGCTAGCACATCTGAAAATACAATGCACAATTTTCATTTCTCTTTTCTATATCCTTCTAAACTAACTTCGATTTGTTTTTGAAGAGGAATAAAAGTGAAATGAGTATCCTTATAAGAAGGTATGCATTCAGTAGTGGAAAATAAATGATTTACAGTTGACGTCCTCTGTTACCATAAGTAATGTAAACACTGAACGTAACCACACAAGTGGTATCTTTATTTCACAAGATTAAAGATACAGTACAAAATGAATCTGTACATCTTTCTATTAACAGAATTTGTTTACACAATTATATTACATTTGACCAGCCTTTATACTGATTTTAAATACAAAATAAATTTACAAAAGTCCTACAAGACTCTTTAAAGAACTGCAGCCGATAAAAACAAAGGACTATTTGAGGGGGGAATCCTATGCCATATGCATTTCCAGTAGTTCTCAAACCAAACTAAGTTTTGTTTAGTTTAATATTCTCTGAAACAAAAATAAAATTTCAGTTTATTGTTGCCTATCTAAAAATAAAGCAACTTGCAAAAGTGACTATGACCCCCTGTAATATAATCCTTAAAGGCCAAAACTAGCATAAAGTAGGTGGAAACTAAATAATGCATAGTCTTAAAAGTCCTTTCACAACCCACAATTTAATGCTCTTCTCCAAGAAGAATATTTGATAGTTTTTTTTTTTTTTTCATTTTTTTATTTTTTAAACTTTTAAGTTTAATAAGAGCAGCTGATGTTTCATGGAAGATGACTAAGAAGTAAATAAAGTTTGCTTCAGGAGTCTCACTGGGATATTTATATCAAAGATTTTACCTGTACTTAGATTCTCCTACAACAGACATACAAAGCAAGGAAAATTGTTTTGATAGATTAAGTCCTGGGGCAAATCTCAAAGGGAAGAAGTAGAATCTTAGTTTTCTCAACAGTTTCATGTTATTTTCAGACTGCAAGAACAGCTGAAGCAGCTGATGTGCTTACTTAATGATGCAGGTGTAGAAAAATATTTCCCACCACATCTTTCCACTGTTTTCTTGCATACAGAACTCCCACTGACAATAGCTACTGCTCTTTATAGTTGTTATTTTCCCTTCAGGGAGAAAACAGCAGGTGTCTGGGAAGGCCAGAGCATGCCTATTTGACCTAAGTAATCACAAAGAATACAGTTTTTCCATTCAAAAAACACTTCAGATAAGTAAAAATGCTTATCTTAAAATTAAGTATCCCTTCTAAAATAATTCTGCATACAAGCTATAGGACAATCTATTACCAAAAGGGAAGAGCACTTCACCGCAAACAACTGAGCAATCCAATTCCTCAGGGAAAAAAGCAGTTTGACAAACCAAGCACACAAGAAACATATTGCTAGTAAGAGTTAAACACATTTCTCTCAAAATGCAAGTTTCAGAGTAGAGTAGCAAGGGATTGTCTCAGAAGCTGAAGTGATGTTGTATGACAAATGGTTTAGAAAATGTATTCATTTCTTTAATCCCTGAGTTAACTTGCTATTACTCCTGGTAAGTACTTCTTTACTACTACCACTTCACTCAAATGAATGTCATCTGAAAAAAGTTAGTGGTAGCAATTTGGTAGAAAGCAGGGAAAAAAGCAGAAAGACTTCCTTATTGCTTCTTCAAAAAGCAGTTCTGTAAAATGGAATAATTCGCTGATCTCCAGCCATTTTCTTCCGCTGATTTCTTAGCTGTAAAAATGCATCAGTTCAGTGAAAAGCTAGCTGTAAGACTGTCACATAGCAACAATGATGAGAGAGTCTCATGCAAACAGAGCTTTTAGAATTTAGTTCTAGCAGATAAAAACAACAAAAACATTTTAATAAAGCATTAACAAAATTATTAAACATCCTAAGAGATCAACGAATCAGTGATAGTTAACTGGAAAACATTTCCCATATAATCTTTAATTTATTCATGCTGAGCTAGAAAAGAACTATTAGGTGACAGAGGCAAAAAGAAAGAGGTCAGAAGAAGTGCTCAGAAGTCACAGGTACCTCAGAAATGCAACTGGGGAGTGCTGTACATTCCAGACTCTACATTTCAGTTCAATACTGTTCCAACTGATAATGATGAAAAAGACTGAAACAAAAACATTCCTCTGCCACATGCTGCAACCCTCCATCAAACTACAACAATGGATTTGTCTCCACATAACCAGAAGAAACATTTTCAAGTACTGAGAAGCTCTACCTCTATTTTAATATTAAGTCATCCATGACGTTTCAGTTCACAGAATAGCATCTTTCTTTCCCTCTCTCCCAAACTACAGATATATTATGCAACAATTGCATTAAGTATAAAAACAGATCAAAGTCTATGCCAATGCACTGAAGCTGCCAATGCACTGAAAAAAGTATATGAAAGAAAGCTCTTAACCCTTTGAATGAAGTAGATTTTGTCAGAGAGAAGCTAAAGCCTTATCTTTGTATTTCATTCTACTTTAAGACAGGACAGCATATTCAGGAGTTCAAACGCTAGCACAGAAATAGGTACTTAACTGATTTGCCAAGAGCACAAACATCTGTATTTGTTACACCTATGATACTGTTTTCCAACCTCATACTCTGAAATTGTAGTTCAATGACAAACTGTCACTAGCTTCTTGCAGTCTAAAAACATATGCCCACAGGTCATACATACTCTCTATACTCCAAAAAAGGCCAACACTAATTCGGTGGTGTCAAGAGTCAATAACATTAGCTGTCTTCAAATTTTGTTACAGGGATCCTCAGGTTGTACAGCTACTCAAACATTGGCTGACTTTCTTATGTATGCCCAGTACAAAAAGGGTAGGCCACTGCTGTGATTTAACACAGGATTTTTTAATCAGTTAACTGAACTTGTAGCATCACTGGCTTAAATCCACACCTTTCTGTAGAAAGTACATGCCTTTGGGACCCTTCTATTTTTTTGCTGCGGATGCATTAAACAGATGCACATAAGATACTACACTTCATCTGCAAGAGGATCTTCTTACAGTGCAGATAACATGAAGCATTGTTGGAAATAAAATACAAGGTTTTCTCTACTTAAAACCAGGAAGGCATATGGTTCTGTTCTTTCTTCAGTGCCCACACTAACTCTGCTGCTTTCTGCAATGTAAATAGACTTGGCATGTCTGTAACAACAAGGTTACACTATTTAAAGATACTACTAACTTTTCCTTACATTACTAAGGATTGCAAGTTAAGAGACTCCAAAAAACTTTTCAGAAGGATGTGAGATCCGGGCCTGCACAGTTTGCAACTAATTAGTTTTACAAACACTATCTATTTCAACTCTCCTCCTGGGCTATATACTAACTGTTGACAACTGTCTACTTTGATGATAATGAGGGAAAATACCGGAAAAAAAAAAAAAGCACAAATGCAATTACATATTTGCTGGTTTAGTTTTACAGAACTTATAAATAATCCAGATTAAACTTTTCAAGACAGCATAGAAGACCAAAGAGTAAGAAATAAATCAAATAAGGATTGTAGAAATACTTGAGGTGGAGATCAGAATATGAATTCATAGAGCTCCAACTGTTTTGGACTTCAAATACAGTTCAGCTTCTTGGAATGAAACTGGCCATAAATTCATTATTTTTATAGGGCAGCTGCTATCAGACAGGCAAAAGTCTTCTAATGCTAGCCTTCTCTCTCTCTCTCTCTCTCTCTCTCTCTCTCTCTCTCTCTCTCTCTAAGATGAAAAGGACTCTGAATAAAGAGAAACTAGATACAGCAGGCAACATTTTTTTGTAGTAGCACACTTGTGTTTCCATGAAAAAAGCCATAGTGTTATTCCATTGGCACTGAAATAACATTCAAATCAGTTTCAGAAGAAATTTCTTATCCCTGAAAAAAGGCATCATTCTAAGCAGCTTTCATACTTTAATCCTTATTAACTTCTCTGTGCCTCTTTTATGGAAGGGACGATTAATCTGAAGTCCTAAATCACAATGAAAGTTGTTCTTCTTGGAAAAATCCAGTTCTTTTACCGAGGCCCTTGTTGCTATTGTGGTGGTTGATGCTCTGGAGGTGGTGGTTCTTGTTGAGGCACAGCTGGTCGTAGTCCTGCTGGTCTGGGAATTGCCTGATGTTGCCTTTGTCTATAAGCTATAATTGTTCCCAGAAGCAAGGTGATGATGGTCATAAGGTAAAGGTCCCACTCAGGCCCAAGCAGCTGGTCCATATCAATATGTGAGAAGACTTCCCTTAACTAAGAAAGAAGTCCATATTATCATGTCAGAGAACAAGAACAGGAAGATGTTTTATATTTGACTTCTAATATTTTTAATGTACAAGCTACTGAAGTTTTAGAACTGCTACTCTTCCCCTCTATTTCTGAGAATGAAAAATAATAATTACAATGTCATCCTCAATTTTCAGGAGTTAAATGCCAATAAAAGCAATGCTCTGTAGAAGGAGCTATTTCCAAAGATACTGTTCCTGACACACAGCTATGTAGTTTTCACACATGCAGCAAATACAAAAAATTTAAATTATGTGCCCTGTTCTTATATTAGTTGTCTTGAAGAGAGGGGCACAAATGCTACATACAAAGAGGAAATGAACTCAGTCCAGCCAAATAGGGAAGCATCTGCAGACTATCGTGAACAATGGAACACTAAGGTCAAGGATAATTAAGTTATATGACACTGAGATTCATGTAGATAACTTACAGGGAAGTTACCAGCCAAAACACTTCATTGTTAGTCATGTGAACTGCCTTTCTATCAGACTATGACTTGCATAAGCTGTAGCCAACATAATCATGTTCTCCTACAGTGACATTGTACTTATTGACTGTAGATCTAAAACTTTGAATACCAGTGTTCTGTGTAGTAGCTTCTGTGAGCTCTGATTATTTGCTCAATTGATTTTCAAAGTTTCAGTTGTTCACTCTTGAAAGTTTCAGACTATTGATTTCCAGTCTTACCTGGATTGCTTGAAATCAAATTTGCTCTAAGAGGAAATAGCTTTCCTATCATTTGAATTTATCAAGTAATCCAAAAGATAGTAAGATCTCAGAATACTGAAGAATATTTCAGATAGTATATGGAGAAAAATCGCCTAAACTCAATTTCATCATTAAGCAGAAACTCTGTATGGTAACTGAACTGCCAAATATAAGCAAACATGACTTAAGTGGGAGTGTTACAACTGAATATAAAACAGCAAAAGAATTGGGGCTACAAAAAAAAAACCAAACCCAAAACACTCTCTTTTCTGTTAAGCAGTCAATGTAACAGGTGGTCAGTTTTAACATCAGACGCTTGGCTAGAAGCAGTCAAATAGGTTTGGGATATTCTCTTCAAGGGAAGAATAGCACTGAACAGCACTGACTACGCTCTTCTCAGTTTCCCACTATTGCACAGATAAGAACTGCAGCTTCTACAACTTTAAAAGACAACGTCAAAAAAGAAAAATTTACTTTAAGGCTCACATGAGACTTCTGCTCAAATAAGGTATCTATTCTTTTAAAAGAAGACTGAGTTGTAAACATTTCTCTTTTTAATTCTACTTACATTGATTTCTCGTATATACTGCATAGAGTATATCACTCCAAGCTTGCAAAGAGCTAGGAAGACTGGAACCTGGGCATCTGGGCTTGCTTCAGCAGCCATATCATAGAATCGTTTTGCAAGATGAATATCCTACAATTACAAAGATACAAAAATAACTTCCTGAGTTCTTTAGAACTGATAAGATCTAGAGCTTTTTCTACATGAAAATACATGCTGTCATTTGAAAATGTTTTTTTTTTTTTTTTTCTTGGTTGAGTTAAACAAAAACCATTCAAGTACAACCCCCTCCTTTTTTTTCCTAAGGGATGGTCATCTTTCAATATACAAGTAGAAGCTTACATCCAAGGATAAAGCTAGCACAATTGATACTGGAATTGAAGCTAATAAAGAGATCAATATTAATAAATTCAACCCATGCACTGTAAAACAAAGCCTATATTTAGACAACAACTTGAGTATACTTTATGTATGCAACACCACACCAGATGAGAAAGAGTAAGAAAACAGAAGCCATGTAGGAGTACATAGCAACAACTCCTCCCAGCTATAGTACAGCACGCCTCCTGCAGAAAGCCTGCAACTTCTAACCATTTCTGAACACATTCCAAATTAGATTCTACTTCTTATTGTAAACCGACATGCCTAAGTGAGAGCAGTGTGGTAAAACATGATCAACAGCCAGCCAATTTTAGAGAAGCTTAAATTAGCCATCTCTACTGAGCTAGTTGGAACAAAGTGATTGTATCATGAACAGAGGATACATGTAGCTAAATACCTTAGCTCCCCCTCAACTGCTTTCTACTTGTTAACACAGAAAAACTTAGTTTTTTTGATACACACGGAAATGATTTTTCAACGTACCTATGAACCCCAAAACAACTCAAGTACTCTTCAAGCCTGGGAAGCCTGCCTGAATTTCCTTGTTTCCTTATACTAAGACAGTATACACGAAATAAGCATACAAAGGATCCTAATCATGTATTACTTTTATTTCTAATTAGGAAGTTATTAGTTGTATTTATACATTCTTCACTCTCACTTGATAGATGAGAAAGAGCTGCAAACGCTTAAGTGTCTTAATACAAGTAAAGAACTAAGATTACACCGAATCCTAAAGAGCACCATGGAAAAGTTAACTTAAGAGACTTGATGCTGTTAAAAATAAGAATATAGTTTTCATTCTGATATGCAGACTCAAATTGGACAATATCAGTGAATACATGAATAGCAGTATGTGTGTGAAACTTCTAAAGGGGTTTAATAATTGGCTTTGAACTAGAATGAATCTCAAAGCTATCCATACAGAGCAAATACAATACAGAATCCTATCTGCAAGAAATACTGTTTATTCAGTAAGTAAATGGTGAATAATGCATAAGCTGTTTGGAAGAAGTATCATACTTATTCAGAACTATCCTGAATCAACAACAACCTGAGCTGAAGTCGTGCAGCTATTAGATCATTTTTCCTAGCTCTGAATTGATTGCAATCTTAATGGTATGAATATAGGTAGAGAGAGAATAGAATTACACAACACTTCATTCAATAGTGAAAATTCCCAATTTGTTAGATATTGCAATGCTAGAAGTCAATAAAGGACCCATCCACAGCCCTCCAGTGAAAGAACAGACTTCAATGGCAGACAACATATGCTAACATCATGACTTCAGTTGAGTTATTTGAAGGAGACATTCAAAATTCAGTAGTTTCCATTCCAGGAAAGGATAACAAAATATTTCTTGACTCAAAATTCAGTCTGTCTTTTCTTAGGCTATCCTAATCCAACCCTGTTCCAGTCTTTTTTGTCAATCCTAAACGCCATTCTCTCTCATCTTATGAATCTAAAATTTAGGAAACAGCAAGTGAAGAGTAGCTAGGTGTTCAAAATCTCCAAGACTGGTTTTATAGACTATATTTCTTGTCTAGACATTCTCAGTGCTCACTTTCCTTATTTATATTAGCTATTTCAATTAAGGTAAGGTAGGTTGCTCAGAATTAGTATGCAAATTCAAATTACATTCTCTTATATATGTCAGAATAATGAAAAGGATTCTGTACATTTTAGTTTACTTAGGGGCTGTTCAGCCTGGAGAAGAGAAGGCTTCAGGGTGACACGATAGTGGCCTTTCATTACCTAAAAGAGGGCTAGAAGAAAGAAGGGGACAGACTCTTTAGCAGGGTCCCTTGAGATAGGGCATGGGGAAATGGTTTCAAACTAAAAAAGAGGAGATTAAGACTGGGCATAAGGATGAACTGTTTTTTTTGTAAAATACATCGGAATAGGTTGCCCAGAGATGTAGCAGAAGCCCTGTCCCTAGACACAGACTGATCTTGGTGTAAATGTGTTCACTGCAGAAGAGCCGGTTTAGATGATCTTTAATGGTCCCTTCCAATTCAAAAGATTCTAAGATCTGATACATTTCTTATAGGAACTAAATGCGCTGCCTTCTTCTAGTATTTTGTAAAGCAAACTGCAGTCTAGCCTAATTTGAAAAGCTACATCTAACAATCACATTGTTCATATCCTCTGAAATATCAGTTCATTTGTTTTCAATATCATGACATTTTGAAAAGAAGAGCTCCATATACTTTCAAGCACTGAGTTATAAGTAGAAGCAATCCTGTGCAGAAATAGCCTGAATCTGGAATTGATTTTGATTTCTTTCATTATATTTTGAAGTCTTGAAAACATTACAAAATTGGATGCAAATATGAGTTACCCTTTTGCCAAACTTCACAATTAAGGGCAATTTCTTCCCTGCCTATACCTTACTCCCTCACACACAGAAGCATGAAATGGATATATTTCTGTAATTGCTAAGGGAGGCTGTACTGAGGCATGCAAATTCCTGCTAAGTGACTATATAGTGGCTGAAGTCCACTATGACTAGGGATTTTAATAATAGTAAATGTACTGTAATGAATCTGCCTATCAGCTTACACCTCACTCACCTGCTTGATGCCCAATCCCTTCTCATGCATGTAGCCCAGATTGAACATCGCTTGGGCACTGTGCTGCTGCTCTGATGCCAGTCGATAGTGAATAAATGCTGTTTCATAATCAACATCAGTACCAAATCCATAGAAATGGTAATCTCCAAGTTTAATTCTTGCAACTGTGTATCCTACAAAGAAACAAAAAACATCATAAAAGATAAAACATCTAGTCAAAGTAAGCCTTGCAATCTCACATGAAGCTTCACTACAGGCTTTATGCACACTGTATAAAGTAATATTTTCTCTTTTTTTGCCTTTCTCACAACAGATTTTTAAAAGGAATACTCAGGTTTAGACAACCCTAACAGACTTCTATTTTCCAGAAAGTACTTCTCCCAGTAACCCTAACAATATTTCTATTACCAGTACAAATTGAAAACCTATGTAATCTCCATAGTCACTGAAGTAAAAAAGCTTTCCATTTATTATATGGTCATTAAGGACTAAAGAATTGTTTTTAAAACAGAAATAATGAAAACAAACCGAAGTCTCTGATAATCACTTGGTAAATGAATATTTCTAGTAAAAAAGAGCACTGTCTAAATATTTTCAGACAAAATCTTACGCTCCATTTAAATCATACCTCCCCTTAAGTAAAAAGTTGACAGACTGACATTTATGTAGATGAACCTGTGTGAAGGTTAGAGAACTCTACTGAGATATAAGATTATTAAACTTAGATTTGTGTATTTTACTATAGGATCACAATACTAGAGTTTAAACTCTGCTTTGTTGAACAATGCTGCATTCTTGATCACTGGTCTTTTCTTGCTTTCAATAAGGAATTACATTTCTTATAAATGATGACAAGTACCAAAATCCTCGAGATATTTTGTATCTACATTAAAAAGGTGGATCAACTAAAATATTCAAGTAAATACATATTTCTCAATTTTAATACTGCTCTATAATTTCATGTGGAATGGCAAGAGAAATGCATTCTACATTTTTTTTTTTTTAATTTTTATTTTTTTACACTTTCCAGGACTTCAGAGTGCAATATGCCTACAGTCATGAAGCAATAACTTTATGGCTGCCAGTGGAATAAAGAACAGCCACAAGCTCTTGTGGAATATGACTAATGTTGAACAAAATAGAAGCTTTTCTCCCTTTCCTTGCTTCATAAAGGAAAAAAAAAAAAAAAAGAGTGTATCTGACATCTGACGTAACTGGAATTGTTACCATACCAAACGTACCTTGAGAAGCTGCTCTATTCCAGTGAAGCAACGCTCGTGGATATGTTTCATTTTCTCCTACTATGCTAGCTTCTTCTAGAAAGGAAATCAATTTATTAAGTGAGAACCTGGTACACACGCACACACACGCACACACACACACACACACACACACACACACCTAGCTGCCCTCAAATGCTTATATGCAGCACGTAAAAAGATTAAAAATTTAAGTGTGCTATTGCCCAAACATGATTCAGCGGGTCTGAAATTAGTAAGAAATACTTTCATTTTTATGTGTTTTTTTCTTTTTTTTTTTTTTTTTTTTCTCTACATCTCTCCCCACACACAAGTTATGAACAAACTGTATGGTTCTACTTCAAAGGTCTCAATTTTTTTCACTTGGAGTGTGAATATGGTTTCAGGCATACTACCTTACAGTTAAAAGATTCTCTGTATGAAGTGTATTTAACAGTTTTACATTAATCTCGAATTGAGATGTAGATTTATAGATATAATAATAATCGAAATTTTAACCCAGACCAAGATGCTATGTCCCAGCCACAACTGATACCTCTGCTGTGTCAGCTTTAGCTTATGTAAAGATGAGTAACTAAAGCCCCTTTGAAAAAACACTCACTACCCTATTCTTAAATCCCAGAAGTCAAAATTTAAGTGTTTCCTGACTTAAAGGTTAGAAAGCTATAGAGGTAAAAAGACTACCAATTTTCCAGTGTGAAAAGGAGGAAAGGTGACAAAAGTTCCATTGAAGCACTAACTGAACAAGACAGACCTTCAAGAATTCTAAAGTTCTACTAACAGGACTATTACAAGTGAGCTCAAAAAACCTTCTGAGAACAAGCAGGAGTCCTTACTTTGATCAAGTATGAAAGCAGCATTGCTTTGTGCAACTTCATAGCCTTGTTCTGCCAAAAGAAGATACTGAACAACAGCAGAATTTGAATCGCCATCTTTATAGCTGTTGTATGCAGTCATAAGTCTTTCAGACCAGCGTCCTCGTTCACAAACATTCTTAAACAACTGCAGAGGAATAGAGAAGATGGAGTAGACTGTGAGGAACTTCAGAAATTTGTATTTTACAGGAGGTCAACTTTGAACATTCAAACACCTGTTAAAAGCATTTGCATTTCACAGGAAAATCTCAACCGATAAATTCACTGCTTAAGACAGGCTTAAACTTCAAGATACAGAGTATATAGATTCCTAAGTAAATCTTGGTGTGTAAAAAACACCAAGATTCAGCTGCTTACTCAGAAATATACTGAACAAGAGCTTTTAAAAAAAATTTCCTATTTCTCAGCTTAAACTGTACACTTGAAACTATGTCCAAATGAAAAAAAAAAAATCAGTACTTAAATACTGAAGTGTGTATTACGTTCATATGATTTTCTTCTGAGCTAAGAAAACAAATGTCACATCACAGCAACATAAAAATTAAAGGTTTTTCTCATGAGATACAAAGCAATTCAATAATTTAACACTTTCCCTTATGATAGCCTTGGTTCTGCAGTCACCAATGCATTTTAACTATGAATATCTTAGGTAAACTGACACAGTTATATCCAATCGTTTGCAAGTTAACATTATTGGACTTGCATTATAAGTGGATGACCTTACCTCAACAGCAGTATGACAAGAACGCATCACTCCAGTGCCAGTAGCATGCATCTGAGCCAGATTGTAAAAAGCCAGAATATGGCCACCCTGGGAGGCCAAATTAAAATATTTCAAAGCTTGTTTATAGTCTCTCTTGACTCCAATACCATCTAAAAGAAATATTAAGTCAATGCTATTCATTCCTCATAACAGGCAAAGTTGTATGAAATACAGCACAATCGCTAGAAAACATTACAGAAAGGTACATAAATGAGTGGGGAGAAAGACAAATAGGAAAAAAACATAAATGCAGTCTAGTAACACTGCAGTATACAAGCAGTATATCCTCACCTTTAATGCCACCTAGTGAACAGATACTGAAATGGCAGTTGTTTATACCTGGCAAATTATTTTGGTGCCACTTACTGTAATACATGGAACCCAGCTGAAGTTGTCCATCAACCCATCCCTGTTCTGCAGCCTTCTGGAAATACTTCAGAGCTAGCTCATAGTTCTGCAGGAAAATTGGATCCAGTCAATAGAGCCTTGCAATATAGCACAATTTAAATAAAGAGAGAATGTGTGTAAAATAAAACAGCTACAGGCTTAAGATATAAAAATTAGACATACAAGGCATATTCTGACTGACAAGTGAACGGGTTGCCAAGAGATGGAGATATGGGAGATATTCAAAAGATGGCTGGTTGAAGATGGTCCCAAGCAACTCATTCTAAGAAGTCCTACTGCAGCATGTGGGTTGGACGATATAACTTATAGAATCACATATAATGATTGAGTTTGGCAGGAACCTCTAGAGGCCAAATGAAAGCTGGCATCCACACATAACGTTGCCACAAATAGTTATAGTTCAAAAGATTTTTTTGTGCTGTTTCAAAAGCAAGCAACTTGTTTCCTCAACTTGGAAAATTAAACTTTATGAATACCTGTTTATATAACTAAAAATATAACACTTGACAGAAAAAGAGACCTCTGTGTTGGTAATGCAATGAGGCCAAAGAACTAATTAAAAGCCTCAAGGCGTTCCTCCACTGTCACAAGAGATAAAATTGGGGGCAGTTAGGGCTTGCTTTGCTTCATAAGAAAATTAAAGCTAAGTTTAAAACTCCAGCAAAACTTTCACACTGCCCCACTTCTCTAACAGCTCTGGCAGTATTTTCAAACTTGTTAGAAGGAACTTAGAACATGTTTAAGAGTTGTTAACCCTTCAGTGAATTACTATTATTTTTATATTAAAAGTTTCTCCACGAAGCTTTCAGAGCAATATAATTCTCCACAAGTAAGTGTTCTACAGTACTCCTCTCTAGAGAAAGAGCCTGTAGAAAGCAAGAAGTTGCACAATCAGCTATGACTAGTGTAATACTATACTGGGATGATAATAGCAGGGTGGCAAAGTCTTTGGCTACAGCAAATGAGAACAAACCCAAACGCAGCAGCCACAGACGCAGAAATGAAGGAAAAGAGCTCAGGTAAGCAGGGATCTCCAGCAAGAGACACCCTCACTTTCACTGTCAACCCTTAAATGAGGTCTGGGAAGGGGTGGATCTTGGCTCCACCTCTTCCAGTCAGTGAGGTGCATTGCTTGCACCTGAGCTCCCCTGGGTTGACCCTCCCTTCCCACCAGGTGCTCAACCACTGATTCAGGCCATGACTTAACATTTCCACTACACCTAGAAAGATGACCATCAAAAACTTACCACTGGAACACCTCTTCCATAGAGATAAGCCATTCCTAACCCACTCTGCCCAACTGGATTACCCTGAAGCAAAAAAATAAAATTCTGTAAAGAAAATCAAGCCTACAACTAAATCTCTCAAATTTTGCAGCTCTTTAGTAACACAAAAACAAGTAGTGCTGAAATAGATGAAAACATGCAAAACAAATTTATTAAGCAATAGTTATTTAAGAAGAAAATAGCGTATCTGGGAAATTTTGCTCAATAGCTACGAAGGTGATTAAAACAGGAAAAAACTTTTAATGCTAGTTATGAAAGTCCACAGTGCATTTTCAAAATGTTGAACACTCACCCATAGGAAGCTAGACCATTAATAACTTATCTTCAGTTTTTCCAAGTTTGAAGCATTCTGAATGCCATAGAAACTCCCAAACAATTAGCAAAACTCTAAGAATCTGTCTTAAATTGAGGCAGATTGCTGGTGGTCCTGTGTTAATCACCAGCATCCCTACTGAACTAGAAGTATGTAGAATTGTAAGTAGAATTGTAGAAGGTAATGGCGCATATCAGAAACTTTTAGTGAATGTAGCAAATTATCAAGTCAAGAGGACCAGTATCAGAACAGTCTCCAGAATCCTTGACATTCAAGATTTAGTTAAACTGCAGCCTGGGACAGGAGTAGCTGTACACATACATAAGCGTGCAAAAAGGCATTAGCAGTATTTCTGAGCTATTCAACTTCTATAGTGCAGATGCTGTATTTTTTGCAAGCAGATAATCATACCATATCAGCAGCTTTCTTGAAATACTGAAGAGCTGTTTCATTATTCTGAGGTACAACATCACTTCCTTCTGAGTACATCTGAAAGAAAAAAAAAAAAAATCATTTCTGATGACTACTCAAATAAATTAATTTTCTGTGGACATCATGAAGCACTGTAGCATTAGGCAACTCTATTTATTTTATTATGGAATAAAGAACTTATACCAAAGCAGAATACATGTATTATGCTATAACTTCAGATTCAGAGGTTATATGAAGAATGAACTATCCATAAAGTTAAAAGCTTTGAGTAATAATATCCTTCACTTCTGATCCAGTGTGGAGAAACACAATTAGACAAAAAAGTCCTCTAAGATCAATGGAAGTAAAACTATACTAGCATGTAAAATACTACTTGAAAACAAGAATTGGTTGCTAGGCCCTGTTCCTAGCCTAATTCAATTCAAGCATTTATTAGATATGTATTCAAACAGCCCTGAAAGCAGGAAACTGCAATCTCTTATGTCAGGTGCCTTGATAAGCACACTATACTCTTTTTTTCATGAGTTTTTTAATCTCCAGTGCAGTGAGAACCTCAAGAAGGTAAGCCAGAGCTACTGCACACTGCTGCCTAATCTTACGGGGTACTCACATTGAATAATAAGGATTTAGCTCCTCATACAGAGTAAAGGTAGCTGATAATCTAGATCTCAGGCAAGTGACCTGAATACCTTTCTAAGGAGAAAGGCGTTCACACCACAAATAGCAGCTTCTCAGTCCAGTTTAAATTTAAGAAGGAAATAAGTCTCAGGAAACGGATATAAAGGTCTACTCTGCAGACAGATTCAGGCTTTGATACAAACCTACTGGAAACTAATTTAGATACCTCAGTTTCCAGTACAGAATAAGAAATCTTTTTTTTTTTTTCCCCTTCCTGGAATAAACATTTGCTACACCACAGTTAACTATCTAGACACCCATTTCCTATTTTTAAAGGTCTAGTTCAAGCACTTTTCACTCAAAACAAACCTTCCAAAAGTGAAAGAAGAAATAGAAAACAGACTAGACATAATAAACTGCTACTCTCAGTTTAAAACTAGCAAAGTTGAAGCTTCCAGCATTCCAGTTTGAGACTACACAAAATCAGGAGATAGGAAATACTATTATTCTACTGAAACAGACAATTGTCTTATTTTTGAGTGTTCAATATTTACCTTTCCTAGAAAGGCCATGGCATGTGAGTTGCCAGCATTAGCTGCTTGATTGAAGTACTCAAATGCGCGCTGGAGAAAGGAAGACAAGTATTTTAGTTACCTTGATATATGATCTGAGTCTTTTCTTGCAAAATATAGCACAAGTGCAATTGTCAGGCTTGCAGGTTCTTCTGAGCAAAAGGCTTATCAATTCTGCCTTATTTAATGGAGCTCCCTATATAAAATCTCAGTACTGAGCAGCAATCCCACTCAGTGTATTCCAATAGGCAGAGAAAAAACTGCTACTGAACACAAGCTATACAGGTATATAAGCTTGGGTATACTCATTCTGACCACTGAACATATTCTTTAAACTCTTACAGATGAGCCATTTTTAAGGTGGCTGCTGTTACATAATGTGTGGTCAGTAGCAGAGTCTGAAATAATCCTCAGAACAGCACACTCAGCTCTCTAGTTTTTCAGTATGTATTTTCAGAAGATAGTTATTTTAACTTCCACAAGCAATAGGTATGCTAGCTTACGACAGCAGAAGTTTTGCTTTCTAAACAGATTTATTAACTGTAGTATTTTCAGTCACATCATTTTGGCTACTGAAGTGCTCTACTCTTCAAATTCATGTGAGTTAGAATATAATTGCTAATGTATACATAGTCCACCATGAAGATCCTACTACATATGCAGAAACTCAGCCAGTTGCAGATAACATTTAGTGGAAAAACTCATCTTTGTATTTTTACTTCCTCATTTCTAAGACTAGTATTAAGCTAACTGTATTAAACACAAATTTTACTGAAGACATTAAATACCTTATGGCAAATAAGAGTTCTGCTTGATTGTGTTCTTAGGTACACTATTTCCACCCCACCTTTATAACTGTAATACACACTGGAGATGCACAGAAAGGCTACCTGATGATTTTGCTCTACTCCTCTTCCTCCATGCAAGTGCAATTGTCCAAGACCAACCTAAAAATAAAGGGCACAATACAAATAAATCACTTTTCCTTAGGAAATTTACTTTCTTAGAAACACAGATAACATAGACAAAGACAGAATACAAAACCCATTTCCTCCATAATATGCTAAGGGAAGTGGAGAATTAATGGAGAATAATAAAAAGTGACTGTCCTAGATAAAAAAAAATAGACTGTTCAATTCCACACAATTCTTAAGTCTTAGCTGAGAGTTAAATCAAGACAGTTGGCCTGCAGTGTTCTCCCCTCAATCTGTGTTACACATAGAAGAGGTCCAGCTGGCACCATGCAGAAATATTACAAAAACAAAGCAGTAAGAAACTGAGGCTCTTTCACAAGGCCAGTTCTTCTGATCAAGACTTCCCTTACAACACGTAAAACTATTCTTAAACTAGTCTGATTGGTTTCCATGAACTCCAATATCATCTTCTCTAAGATACAGAAGTGATAATATTTTGGATTTATTTTTCCACAGATACTTGCTTTTCTTTAAGTCCAATCTTAAGCATGCTAAAATATAAGCTCCTTCTAACAAAAGATAATCGGGAAGTGTCAATAAACCTGATTGCTGAGAAATACTGAGAGAGATATTAGAGCTTTAGCTTTCTAAAACTTTTCATACAATCCCCCCAAACTCCTGCAAAATATCAAATGAACTTAAGTTTTACCTGCGCTTGTACATCTCCTTTCTCTGCTACAAACTGGTAATACTGAATCAAGTCTTCTTCCAACATTCCACTTGCCATTCCTGGATTTTCTACTTCATCTGCTAAGCGAATCCGCTGAACCACAGTTCCACCAGTCAATGAAATATCGCTAGCAACTAGAAAAGACATTTGTAAAACTTTCAGGCAGCTTTTCTCAATACAAATACTGTACTGCAACTTTGAGTAACCAACAGAGATCCAGTTTTTTTTTTTAAAATAGAGGTAAAAAAAAAAACACCTTACAATTCAGAACCAAACTGATAACTTAGAAGTGTAAAAATATAATTCTCTAATGCTGACAAAAGGAGACTTTCTAGGTATTTCTATATCATTCAAAAACATTAGTTGAGTAAAAAGTGCTTTTACCGTGATTAGCTACAAGTCGATAGTGAGTGAGAGCAGATTCACAGCTTTGCAGGACTCCTATCCCAGCCCAGTAACGGTAACCCTGAGAAGAAAACAAAGATGGTGCTCATTTGACAACTCAGCACCTGCCACGTTACAAACAAAAGTTTTCACATTACTGGAACAAGTTTTGACAAGACAACAGGCTAAAAGAAAGTCATGAGACAACTCCAAAACCATTAAAAGCAATTGACTGATACCATTCAAAAGGCTAAGTGTATCCAATAAACAGCAGGTATTACTCCAGGACAAACTTACAGGTGAACACCTAAACATCTTTCCACTTAAATGTAATACGTTTTCTCTTAAATCTCAACATCATTGGAAACTGCATCTTCTGCAAAGATCTTTGGCTTTCACTATTTTTATCAGCTTTGAACAACTAAGGCAGATATCACTTTGCTTTAAGTGAAAAGGGATATATACTTGGTTCATTTAAATCCACAGTGGCACACAGCTTACAGTGAGCAGATTTTTCCTTACGCGAAGGAAGAATAATAAGAAATGCATGCATATAAAAACTTAACTGGGAAATTTTACTTACCAAGATCATATGGGCTATCAGATTTCCTCCTAAAGCTCCAAATGTGTAGTAGACCAGGGCCTTAACAAATAAAAATATCACTGATTATATAAACATCTCCCTCCAAGATAAAAAGAAAACACACACAGAAGATTTTTTTCCCATGTGTTACCTTAGCTTGACTAGAATTGACTCCTAGACCAGATGCATACAGAAATCCAAGTGCCTAGAAATAAAATGAAGACAGTCAGCAAATCTCAAGGAAATTCCAGGATTACGTATTCCTGGAATACATAATTATAAAGGAATCACACAACAACTCAAAGTTGGAAACAACATGCTATTCTCTACCTTCACTTGGTACTTCCTCTATCTAGGCCCTTCCTTTCTTATTTTACAATATCAAGTTCCTAAGTTGTTCAGTTGTTTAAGAAACTACCATTAATGCAATTCATCAGAATTCATCCTAACATAACAAACAAAAGGTCAGAATTGCTACATACATGTATCTGTATTCCCTACAATAGCAGTTAGAGTAACAAAAATTGTTTGGCTACATTTTTCCAAGTTACTTTTATTCTTTAAGTTTAGTTAAGTACTACTGTATCTACTCTAACACCTGTTACAGCTGTGTGACTCAGTAGAGAAACTAGTAGCATAGAAGATGCAGTGTACATAAACCATGCTAGGCAACTCCCAAAGTGTAGAGAAACAATGCAGATAGTACTGTGTAGTTAACAGAATACGTAAATAAGAGGGCTGTGGAGGTCACCAGGCATAATAGGATCTGCAGGGGCCCCTTGTGTGGTTAATGGAATACATAAAAGGGGGGCTGTGGAGGTCACCAGCTCTATGGGGGCCCCTTGACTCTCGAGAAACCATGGTGAGACATGGCAAGACAAGACATGCCACATGTCTATTGGGTAGAGATAATCGTAGCAAAGGTGATTGGTAACACTGTGATATAGGGAGAGCTATAAGAAGAGTGTGCTGCTTACAATAAACTGCATTTTGTCACTCATCATTTTGGTGTGCTGAATAGCAAACAAATGGATCAGGCCTAGCGCAGGACCAACTTGGTTGGGCGCTGAGCCTGAGGCTGTCAGGCCACTGCGGGCCAGGTGGACCGCAACTTAAGTCGCCGTGAGAAACGGCGACAGTACTGAATTCTAGACTGATAAAAATTCTGATCTTATTAATATTAAGCCTCTAGAAAAAAAAAAATACTCTCGCTTTTTAAGGCAAATCAGTGCTCGAACACTAAGTGGGGAATAAGATTCTCAAGACAAAGAATCAAGAGAAACCGGTCAACTCCAAAAGAAGCTGATGCTTCTGAAACAGAGAATGAAGTAAGTATATGCAAACACTGATGTACACAAATTGACAATAGCCACAATTTTCAACACAATGAACAAGTACCACAGAATTGTTTCCATTGAAAAGGGGACCTTAAAGTCATCTAGACCAACTCTCTTGCAATGAGCAGGGATACCTACAGGTAGATCAGTTGGCTCCTGGTAACAACCAGAACAAGTTGTTTCACATCACATTTTCAAACAAAGTGCTGTGTCTACTACCTTTTTTTAAATCTAGGTAACAGATGACATTCATTGTTTTCATCTCATTCTAGAGGAAAGAACAATCTATAAAACCCATTTAAAACAAGTACAATCTATAGATCTAAGCGACTTATAAACCTGTGGAGTTTTTGCAGAATTTAAGAATTCACATACCATTTGTCCTTTAGGAGAACCTTCTTCTGTTAGTTTTTCAAATAGCTCTTTAGATGACTGTATGTTCTGCTTCAAGTAATCCCCAAACAACAGTGCGTAAGACACTTTCTCCATTGCCTTGGTATGATTCATGTCAGCTGCCTTCAGAAGATACTGATATGCTCTTAAAAGAAAACAATTTTAGTCACTTCAAAGCAAAACAGATTCCATTCCTAAACCTGTAAAATTCACATTCTTGTATGAACAATTTCAAGCAATGTGCTGAATATTTACAAGGACCATTTCTGTAATAACCTCAGAGAATATAGCAGATTAAAATAAGCCTGAAAACTACTTTGGAGTCTTTGATTTGATGAGTACAAAATTATTCAGATGAAAATACAAAATATTTGGTCCAAGACAACTGCACACATGACAAGTCATGTGATAAAACAGTCATGCTAGCTGTAACAAAGTTCTCTGTTTTAAAATCTGATACTATTTAATCAAATGCTAACAGGTACTAGCTGTCTTTATCTTTGCCAAGGTGTGATGGACAATCTCTAAGTGTAGATCAGCTTTCTGAGGTCAGAATAAGCTGCCTTGTCTCCATCGACAAATTTAACGCAGTAATCATTCTCACATAATAATCAGAACCCTGGAGTCACCACTTCCTGATGAAGTTGCCAAAATGAGTACCAGGCAGTTCTAAACTTAACTTCTTAACTTAGCTATTATTACAGTAAACTGAAAACTACTTCACCAACAATTGGTTGTATTACAGGGCAGAAAGTAAAAATACCAGAAAGAACAGAACATCTCTTTCTATTCTTTTTTGGTTTCTTCTACAAACATTACTCTAGCTCACAAAAAGCTAATTATTAGAGCTTTAGTAATTTGTGAATAAGATTAACATTTCCCTGAAGATTGAACAGAGCAGGACAAGAAAAGCTCTTCTTCACCGACCCAGTATTTGAAAACAAATGAAAACCATAACAAGAAACATTTGAAAAAGGATCTAGTAACAGAGACATATCAACTACTTGTATCACACACTCTCCTCTCAGGCAGGTCTCACATTCAGACTGTAGCTAGAAAACTGCAGCACCACCTTGCATTAAGCCAACACTTAGAAGACACTGATTCAGAAATTTATTTTCAGTACCATCACTGCCTAACTTGTTGATAAGTCCCATTAAGCAGGAAAATACCAAGGCATCTAATTTATGTTAACTCATAAACATAAATGACTGACCAGCTACATAGTCATTATCTTGTAGGGATGGAAGATGTAGACTTACTCTTTCTTCTGAGCCTTTTTGGTGCTTTCATTAAGGATTTTCATTCCAGTCTGATAAATATCCTCAGCTTCTTGCATCTGCCTCCTCTTATTGGACTGCTCTTCAGCTTTTAAAAGCAAAATAAATAACCCAAAACATTAAGATCTCCAATTACACATCTTAAGACTGGTCTCTCAAAATTCCTACTTGTTTTAAGGGTAAATACAGTTTAAGGAGTATTTTTGAAGACCAATAAACAACCCTGAGTGACTACCAGGCAAAGGAAACGTTGAGCATCTTCAAAGATACCATCTCATGTGATCTCTGTCATGAGTTTGCTGTTAAATTATTCCTTTCCTTGCTCCAAAGCAAGCTGTGCATGGAAGAAAGGTGCTTTCTAGAAAAAGCTTGCTTGCATACAAGAAAATCAGCAAGTATAATGGGAACACTGTCAAATCTCCATACTTCTACAGCTTCAGAAAGCGAGTTTTACAGATTCCCCCACTGCAAGATTTCCCAAAAGCTTTAAAAACTGCATTTGCACTATAATTCTTCCCCAGTATTTCCCATCATGAGAACTTTGCCTTTCTCATTTCTTACACGAGATGGCCATTAATACACAATAAGGACTTCTAGATCTTGTAGTAAAGAGCATAAGGATATACGAAAACACTGAATTAAGAAAGTATTATTTGAACAAAAATAAAAAACACCAGCTTGCTTACTTTCACAGAAGCCCCACTTTTGATCTTTCTTGTAATCATAGGTTGTTGCACACCAAAGCCTGCCATCTTCCCTCCCATCTGCAGTACACTCTGCATATTCCTTCTCCATAAACAAAAAGGGGAAGTGGCAAGGTTCACCATCTGCAGTGCCTCCAATAGCTGTCAAAACTGAAAATACATACCCAGAAATAACTTCAATTTATAGAATAAAGAGAAGCAGCTGTCTATCATACCAACATAATTCCTACATATTAACTTTTATGAAGTTAAAATTGTATTTAATCAATTTTTGAATCAAAGATTCTAACTTACAAAAGCATGTAAAAACAGTTACTTTCCCAAATAACACTTCAAAATATTAATCTTATTTTCAATTATGAAATGGAACAGCAGGCATCCTATTTTTAATTTCTCAGCAAATGCATTAGAATATAACAATTTTAAGGAAAGACTTCCATGAAAAACTGCACTTTTTTTTTTTTTTTTTTTTTTACGTAAATACACTGAAAACATTTTTTCACTCCACCAGTTTAAGTTGCATTCAAAATTACTTTTAGTGGTGTTACTTTTCATGCACTCACTACACTATCAAAGGTTAGCAATTTCACTGCACTATTTTTAGGTAATGTCAGTCCTCTATGAAGACTATGAACTATCTTCATTTTTTGAACATGAAATTATTTCAGTCAGCCTTTTATGAAGTTCTGTTTCAGTATGCTGAATTCAGCAGTTGGCTTGAGCTTCGTTTGAACACATTTGCAAAGATCTGCAATTGATAATGTCAACTAGACTGCTTTTTAAAGGTAAAGTTTCTACCTCTCATGGCTGTAGGGAAAGTTTATGTTTTTTTTTTCTCTCTCTAGAGAACTACACTTGCAAGGCCAAAAGATCACACTAGTTTATTATTATTAATAGGAAAAAACCCCAGAAATAGATCACTTGTTCAAATTGCATTTCCTAAGTTGATTCCTTGGCAGATGCCCCTAGGCAATTTAAATAACACGAGGAAAAGTGTTATCAAACATGCATTAAATGTGTCTTGATGGAAGTAGGTTTGAAACATTTTAGATGTCAGTTAGCTATTGCATAATGCACAACCTCACGGTAAGAGCTCATGACAGAACTTCATTATGAAGATACTTTATACCACATGAAATCCAAATAAATATTCATAAGTATTCAGGAATTTTAAATACATTGTGTTACTCTAAGATTCCTCCAAATTGGAAGGGAAATATGGCAGGAATTGACAGCTCCGTATCAACTGATTGTTGCAGTTGGTGGAAAACTGCCCAAAAAGGATAAATAACCAAAAGATACTACATTCTTTTTTTTTCCCCTTCACAGATGGGAAGAGAATTCCAACTTCTTTCTCAAAAGAAATGTCTTAATAGCACTTATTCTAAGATTCCAAAGATGGAATTTTTCTCTGCTCACTGACCTGCAAAATACACATGGAAAGTTTAAAAGTATTTTGCACGCAATCCCATCACCATGCATATGAGTGAATATATCTTCAGAAAAGCTTTAATCTCTTGTAATGCAGTCCTGTCTCTGACAGCTCGTTCAAGAGATGTAATGTGTCTGAGGCAGATTCCTGCCCCTCTCAGTTAAAAATCTCCTCAGTGAAGCTTTCCTTTAACAGTCTTCTCCCTCCCAGAATACAGGCACTTTTCTGTCAGAACTGCATTTTGTATACAGAAAGTAATCCTTCTATCCACATCACTAGCTTATTTCATAACAAGTTCAAAAGAACTGGACAGGACGTTTAAACTTACAGTTTTTAAATCATGTTCAGTACTTCAACAAGAACAGTTAAAAATCTTAGATGCAAGCAATACCCAGGGACAAGCCATCTAGTCACATAATTCTGAGGTAGGAAGTAATTCATTTTGAAACAGATTGAGTAAATGAAGTATTTAGTTCATTAGTGCCACAAAACTATTAAGTAGAGTTTAATATACTTCTCCTTACAACACTACATCTCTCAAAAGCAGTATTCAATCCTATCAGTAACTTTTTTTTTTTAATACAGACTATACACTAGTTCTGCATTAAGAAGGTACATTAGAAAATACTCGAAGTTAATATGTTAATAACTAAAAATAACTAGTGTGATCCTATTCATTATTCCTGTTTTCGTTTGATATTCAAACCAGGAGCTGAGAAGATAGACACCATTAGTATTACCGTGTAGCTACTCTTTTTAGCAAAATTGAAGATTAAATTTTTATAGACAAAATGAAAAGGAAAATTCTTTGCTATACAAAGTCTAGAGTACTCAACTGTATCACGTAGGTACCATTCACTACTAACTGAAAGTCAAAAATAATAATTTTATATAATCATATTATTTATACTTATAAATGTATATAATATTAAACTCATATTATTGTTAGCAAGATACAAACAGAAAACCCAGAACACTAGAATTTAGAGATGTTAGACACAAGGTTTTACTTGTATTTGAAAATTTACTGAAGTTTACAAGCAATTTAGTTGCTGCCCTAAGGCACTTATAGGAAACTTGTTTTTATATCAAGGTTTGTTCCTTCTTTATCAACCTACTCTCCAGACACATGGTCAGCAGACTGCAACACTGATGCAATTTCTCTTTCTATGGTTTCGATACACACAGTAATATACATGTACTTGAGTCCTATATGAAGAATTCAGTGCTTTATTGATTTGATATTACAATCTTTTCAAAAAGATGGTAGTAATAAGACTAAAGAAAACTCAAATGAATCTAAAAATACACACTAAGAGCTTCTTGCAAATAAAAGGATACCAATTACCATTCTGGTAAATTCTGGAAAAGTAAGGATGCTTGTCAGCTGATGAGTTAAAAATGACTATTTGTGTTTATTTACATCTCAGTTATGCAGAGTGTTTTCTCTTGCGACTAGTTTATAACCTTGCAAGCAGTTACCTGGACTCTGTATTTCTGCATCTTCCAAATCCTTATTTAATAGGTCAGACATGTCTAGAGAGTTCAACTCTTCCAGAGAATTCTCTTTTTCTTCCTCTTGACTGTGGAAGTTCTCTTCATCCTCAGGCTGAGAGCCTGACTTCCCTGATTCAAGAAAGATCTGACCTGCTACCACTCGAGTTCCTGCAGAATGGTCCTTTACCTGGTCCTCTGCAGGTAAAGCCTGAAAGAAAGCAGCCGCATAATTCAGAAGATTAGAAACCAAAGAAAGAAGTTGCAAAAAAAATGAATACATATATTAATTTAAAAAGATACGCTGTCATGATTTTCATCTGGGTTCCAATTAGTATAGTACATTTAAAGAGGATTAGCAGAAATAAATTGAGCTATTAGCTCTCACTGACTCCATCCTAGTTCCATGAAAAGAATACTCTTCAAGATACAGAAGATTAATTCTTTCATCACACAGAAGTAGTCAATGAAACAGTGAGAGCTGAAGAATTCTTGAAAACAACAATTGAATCATAGTTCGGCATGTCAGACCCTTGTTCTTACTCCACAAGAAAAAAACCAGAATGACTAGAAACTTTTCTCACCTCTGACTCCAGTGATTCATCTTGATTCCCTTCTTCATCTATAAGAGAGATTACAAGTCATTACATGTTTTCCATAGTGTTTTATTTTTGAAGAACAGCTAAAGTTTTGTTTTGATTTTGTCGTATTTTACCACTGTTTTGAAATACTCTAGTGTATAAAGTTGAATAATGCAAGTAATACACTTCAAAATAGACCCTGTCATCAAGTGTTGTCAGGAGGAATCAAAAGTCTCACATCTGAACTTGAAATCCTTTAGCTTTTCTAATATTGGATACAATTGTATTATGCCAATATTAGAAAAGCTACAGGATTTATTATTACTGTAACTCAAATTAATCTTCTACATTAACATGCAGTCTGAATTCTTCCAGTTCAGCTAAACTGCTTGAAAAGGTACACAGAAAGTGCAAATAACTCAAGTAATCAGAGGATTTTAGTCACCATATCAGCTTTAGTATAAACAGCTTCAAGATCAACCAGAAAGTGATATTAGCACCATCTCACTGATAATTAAACAGTACTTTGCATAGAAGAATGATAAATCCTTGTGCCTGACCAGCATATTCAAACTTCAGGCAGAAGTTTCTCTTTAGAACTATGAGAAATGACTTGAGACATTGTTTAAGAGCTGTAATCTTTGATTAACTGTCATCTTTCTCACCTGAATGGGTTATTACAGGCTAACCAGTTAGAAAGATGGGGAAGAGAAGCTGAAGATAAGAAATGTCATTAGGCAGAGATCCACTAAAATGCAAAAGGAACGGAGGTGAAAACGAGGCAGCAGATCATCTGAAAAGTTTGTTATGACGCTTTCATCACTGTTTTGCAGAGCTGTGTAAGTGATTCAAAGGACTACTCATTGTACTTCAGACAACTTGACTTACACTACCATTCATCTCAATCAAAAGCCTCAAATGTGACAGCTGAAATGTGACTCTTACCAGATCTGACAACATTATCAGCAACTGACACCACCTCATCTAGGTGAAATGAAAGAAAATGCTATAGGTTTCCCTTCCTCCAGTATAGAATTCAAATCAAAATAAAAACCTTGAAATCTAAACAAACACGCCACCAACTCCTATTACATATAAGAATTCCACTCCACTCCCCATGAATTGGGGTTTATAATGCTATCTGAGCACAACCAACACAAGCTAGAGCTCATTAAATGTTTGCTCTTCAACCCTGAAAGTAAATCACCTGTTTCATTTCTATTGCATCACTGAAATTCTCTCTGAAGGAGCCAGCTTTGTTATTGGAAACCTGCACCTGAATAATTGGTTCTAAGACCGGTTTAAAACAACAAGTCTGGTTTAACTGTTTGTGGGTCATGGCAAAGTAGATGAGGTTGCAGAGATTACTGGTTATATGACTAGAAATAACTGAGATTAACATTAATTCCAGAGGACTGATGACTAATATGCACCCTCTATTTACAGAAGTGTCTACTTCCAAGAAGCAGTTGAGAAAACTTCTGACAGAATTATTGGCAGGTCACAGTTTGACCTCAGAACAGCTTATTGGTCAAGGTTCAACTCCTGAATAAAGTCACGGACGATATATTTGTGCACCTGCTTCAGAGATTAAAGCTGATAGATTCATTTGTTTTTCCATGCACAAATGCTAAAGAAAAGGTAATGACTTTTTTTTTTTTAAAAAAAAAAAAAAAAGTTGAGTCTCTTATCAAGGGTGCCTATCTCTATAAAGAGCTTCTGGAAAACAAAACAAGAAAATGAATCCCACCTTTTTTTTTTTTTTTTTTAACAAATAAGAAGGATACTAAGAAGTACTGAAAGGAAAGAGTAAGCAGAAGGATTTGTGTCTGAAACAGGCAGCTGGTGAAATTCACAAGTTTCTTACAAACCTTGCAGTATTACAGACACAGCTGGGTGTTCACATGCCCAGCCAGGATTCTGGGGCAGCTAAGCACCTGCTTCAATTATCTACTACTTCATATATAGCTAAGATCAGCTTCAAATAACCGCATTTATTTTACTCCAAGTAGAAAAACCTCTGTTCAGTTAGCTTATTTAAATACAGCAGAAGTATTCCAGCTGTAGTGCTAGCTGAGGTTTGTAAGAACTACCACTTTCAGGAAAGTATTTCAGGAAAGAGGGGGTAGAAATAGTGGGAATCAGGTGGTGCAGTTCAGATAACATTATTAGGTTGAAGAAGTCCAGCAGTTCCAATGTTTTGCTATATTCAGGAACAAATCAACTATAACGCTAAAGATCTGCTGCTACCAGACAACTAACACTTGTTTTAACATTAGAACGCTTGCTCACCTTTGGGAAACAAACCAAAATTCAGTAACTGGAAGCTGTAGACAATCTCTCAGAGTTTTAACAAACATTCTAATTGATAACTGACAGTTGGTGTCCAGAGAAGGGCAACGAAACTGGTGAGGGGTCTGGAGCACAAGTCTTATGAGGAGCGGCTGAGGGAGCTGGGATTGTTCAGTCTGGAGAAGAAGAGGCTCAGGGGAGACCTCACTGCACTCTACAACTTCCTGAAGGGAGGCTGTGATGAAAAAGGGTCTGTCCTCTTCTCCCAGGCAAATAGTAGGACCCGAGGAAATGGCCAGAAGTTGTACTAGAGGAGGTTTAGGTTGAACATTAGGAGAAACTTTTTCTCTCAGAGGGTGGTCAGGCACTGGAATGGCTGCCCAGGGAAGTGGTGGAATTGCCGTCCCTGGCAGTGTTCAAGAGGTGCCTGGACGAGGAGCTATGAGATATGGTTTAGTAGCTTGTGGTACTGGGAATGGGAGGGTGGTTGGACTAGATGATCTTGCAGGTCGTTTCCAACCTTGTGATTCTATGATTCTTACAGTTTTGGCTACACTTTCCAAGTTTCAAACACTATCACAGCAAAGCAACAAGTGAAATTTAGTATGCTCTACACTTTGTACACAGTAGGGGTGCAAAGACATGTCTCTGTAGTGCAGGAAGAAAGTATTTCTTAGACCATTAATAAAGCATAAAATGAGATAGCATTTACTTGATCTTTGTCATTTTTTTTTTCATTTCTATTTTGTGTACATAATGCATTAACAGAGTAGGACATACATGTATATTTATTTTTAACTTAAACACTGAGCATGGAAATTCTTTTTAATATGCACATCAGAATTTTGATGACTGCTGTTCTTGAGATCATCTGTGGTATTTTTACTTCTTTGAACATTCTTTTCGTGCCAGTGACTAGTCAGATGATGAAACAGAATGCAAGCCCTGTTTATCCCAATTTTGTAGAAACAAAGGAAACCTAAAGTCACCCATGACTACTGCTTATCAAATTTGGACCTGTTGGAGCACATCCAGAGAAGCGCCACAAAAATGGTCCAAGGGATAGAACATCTCCCCTAGGAGGACAGGCTGAATGAGCTGGGGCTGTTCAGCCTGGAGAAGAGAAGATTCCAGGGAATCTGATAGTGGCCTTTCAGTATTTAAAAGAGGGCTATAAGAATGAAGAGGACAAACTCTTCAGCAAGGTCTGTTTTGATAGGGCAAGGGAAATGGTTTCAAACCAGAAGAGGGAAGATTTAGACTGGGTATAAGGAAAAAGTTTTTTTTTTTACAAAAAGAGTAGTAAAGCACAGGAACAGGATGCCCAGAGAGGTGGTGGATGCTCAGTCCTTGGAGAAATTCAAGGTCAGATCGGACAGAGGACTCTGAGCCACCCAATATAGCTGTAGGTGTCCCCAAGAGATACCCCTAGGGGAGTTGGAATAAATGACTTTTAAAGTTCCCTTCCAACTCAAAAATCCATAACTCTATAATTCTATAGAAAACTTTCAACTGTTGAATTCAGAAAAGAAATGGTCAGCAGAGCCACTTTAGCATAGATCCTATTCCTATTACATGAACCTCAAAAACTTGCAATGAGTTAAGCAAAATCCTTAAGCAGCATCTATTCAGCAAGACTAGTTTCAAATTATCCCTTCAAATTATCTAAGTAAATTATTCCCAGTTACAATCTTTGTAGTGCCCTTATTTTAGGGCAATTACAAGATGAAGATAATGGTCAACTCTCATACTGAATACAAATCTTTTTTCCAGTCTCCTTGCAATTGCTGCTAGCTGCTTACAGCCCTCTGTAGAAAATGAGACTTTTAATAAGGCAAAAGTTTAGGAATGTATTCCAGTTAGGAAAAAAAACAACAAAAAAACCTTGCGAGGGACAGGAAAAGCCATTGAACTCTGATGTTTATGAGAACAAATATAAATACATACCTGTATTCATCTGTCCTACCAGTTAATAAAACAGTACCAGTACAAAAAAAGTTATGCTTATCACTAACGCTAGCCAAAGAAGGTACAGGATAGCCAGAGCAAGAATTGCTTCCTCTCTTCAGGCAAAGCAAAAGAACTTCTATCTCTTTATTCCCATGAGCAAGGGAAAATATCTAGAATCAAAAAATATCCACAATCAGAAACAAATAAGATTATGTTCCCCCAAAACTGTTAATGAAGCAGAAGCAGCAGAAGGCCGCTCCAGCTACAAGCAGTAGCAGATCACTATCTTTCACCAGAACAGAAGTAGCTTCTATTTTCATCTGCTTTTGCCCATGCCCCCATAGATGCCTTAGTATTCTTCCCCTAGACCCAACCTCAAATTTCTTCATAATCTGTACTAACATTATGTCTTAAATTAAGAAGCACTCCTTTCTCTTGATGAGTTTTCTTGCAAGAAATCTTCAGGAAATTGCTTGAAGCAGACTATGAGCAGTTAGGATTTAAATATATAGCTAATTGCCTGACTAAGAAAAGTCCTTATTAAAAGTGTCTTCCAAAGTTCAGACATAACAGTTGAACCATTTTTATTTAACCTTTTAAAAATCCCTCCCTCTAATATACTCTGGTTCCAGGTAACAGTTTCCTGACATCAGGGAACGATCAAGTATTTAAAGAAGCATTTAACACAGTAGGTAGGCGTGTAACAGACTGTACAAGACACAGACTTACTGTTACTGAAGGAAAGCAAGGCACCTAAAAAGTCATTATTACTTCTTTCTCCTTCAGAAAATAGAGGAAATAGGAGCAAGACAGATTATTATCCCCCCCCCCCCATTGTAATCCAATATCCTTTCCTAATTCAGGATATTAATGAAAAATTTTATGTCACAGGAATAATTTAAGTTTAGCAACAACATCCTTAACTGTCAGGCAATGTACTATGGTTTGACTTGGGCCTATTAATCCAATTGATTGCAAATACACAGGTTTTTTTTGAGATTAATTTAATCTATGAGAACCTCATATTCACAGAGCTATAGGATGATGAAAAAGCAGTCCAGCCAGAAGACCTGCATTCTGCACGCTACTACAGCCACAGAGGTGCCGTTAAGCAGCCCCTAATTTTGACAGAACTTCCACAAAACAACAGATGGCTCGTTTAAAGTGAATTATCTCAGCTTTACCTTTTATATCAGTGCAAACACAGCATTCACACATGGTACGCCTCCCTTCTAGCTTCACAGTCCTTGTACTTGCCTTTTCCATGCCATGGGACATGTTGAGCTGGCTTATAACATTACGCACTAAGCTCTATAACTACAGTTGATATTCAGTCTGAGCTCCAACAATGGAACTTACCTTTAGGTTGCTATCACACACATGAAAAATAAATCTCAGACTAATGAACTTACCTCTAGAAAAAAGGTAAACTTTCTTGAGATATCAGTCTGTAAGCACACCCTGAGTAGCAAAAGCTGTACATTCAAGTTGTCAAAGACTTTAAAGACTCTCTATATAAATAAAGGCATTGCATGTTTCTTCTCCTCTGCTCCTTTGGTTCCAAGGGAGTGGGAAACAGGAGCCCAGGAAGGGAAGAAGGATGACAGCAAACACAAAGCACACAAACGGAAGCAGCATCCCAACAGAAACAGCAAAGGGTATTACAGTGACACAGTGTACGCTCCAGTAGTGGCTGCATATCTATCTGTGGGAGAAAGTTCATCTGCTAATGCCAACATCAGCGCTATTGGCGCATGGGCTATGAGATCCATATTAGGGAGAAAAAAGCATTTTGCGTTAAACCAAAACACACTAAGTTGCACTGAACAGACTCCTGCCGTGCTACCAGAACGAGCGAGACTGTGCAAGGCACAAACCCTTCAGATCCTGAGGGATCCCAGAGGAAAAAAGGCCCGCCCCACTAAAGGCCTATGTGGGCCCAGTCTGGCTCAGCCCCGCTCCCCACCCCGCGGTCACACAACTACCAGATGCCCAGCTCCCACAACACCCTGCTGAGGCCGAAGCAGCTCCCACCCTAACCCGGCACCCAAGGGCTCCTGGCTCCCCCACACCTCAGAGCCCAGCCGGCAGCCCCAGCAGCAGGCCCCTAGAAACGAGACCGCACAGGTCGCAGCCCGGCGCGTCGTAGAGAGGCAGCAGCCACACACTCACCAGCCGCCGCCAACCCCGCGGCCCGCAGAACCGCGACGCACAGCAGCAGCGCGAGACGCACCCGCCGCCCCATCCCGCCGGCCTCCGTTGCGCCGCCGCCGTCGCCAGACCCCGAGCCCGGCTCCTTCGCCCCACCCACCGCCCCAGCACCACCAATCAGCTCTCAGTACTGACGAATAAAAGCTGACCGCTGAACGCGGCATACGCAAGCCGCCAGGAAACGACTTTCCTCTCTACATGGCCCACGCCGATTGGCCAGGGTAGGCGCTGACTGTCACGCCCTCTGGTTGGCCAATGGGATCGCAGTAGGAAATAATGGTGGAACCATGCCCGGCCGCGCGAGAGCGCCCTGCCCAAGCGACACCTCTGATTGGGGCGTGCCCGTTCCTACAAGGCCCACAATGCCTAGCAGAGGTCATTCTGCCTTCACTACGGAGTGCGAGGCGTCACGGCGCGATTGGACTACATTACCCACAGTCCCCCGCGCCGAACTGCGCAAGGAGCCGCAGGGCAGCCGTGTCTGAGGAAGGGGGCGGGAGGGGCAAAGCCGTTTGTGCTGGGGGAGTGGTGCGCGCAGGCTGGGCGCGTGCTGCCCCTCAACTAACCTGGCACTCGGCATCCATCACTGCGTGCAAAACTAAACCGTACCGCAACCTCGGATCACTGCTATTTTATTACACGAGGTTTCACCAGGACGCTCCGTGTGCTTAAGTGTCGCCCGATCTCAGCTCCGTTACGTTCACAGATCACCCCACAAAAGCCGCTGCGCTTAACAACCCCCTCAGCAGCAAATCCCTCCGTATGCAGCGCGTGGCCGCTCCGCCCGGGCAGGCAGAGGCGCGCGGAGCCACGTGCGGCTGCGAAGGTGCGCATGCTTACAAGGCGGGGCTGACGAGAAGGGAGAGAGCGGGAATAAAGGCACGTGCTGCGGAGGGGTGCTTCTTAGTTCTCGTAAAGGAGGAGTGCGGGTGGCTGCTTAGTTTGTTCGGTGCTGCTGCGCTGCAGAGCGGCGGTTGTGGTCACGAGCGCGCGGTGGTGTTTGCCTGAGGAGGTCTTGGTGAAGGCGAGGTGCTGTGTCTGCGCCTTCTGAGCTCGTTTCTAAGTTATTCCATGCTTCACAATGTGTGTGCAGGCTTCATTGCAATGAAGGAATGAGAGAAAAAATGTATGGAGGTAAGATTAATTTTTTTTTTTTTTTTTTCCTTGAGCTTCTTAATTATGTTGCAGATAAAGCACCCCTCAATTGCGGATACCTGCCAGTGACTGACCTACTGTCTGCATATGGACCCCTGTACTTTACCTGGTAACCTATTTGGAGCCTTTTTGGATACAGGTCTTTTAGTTCCTCGTTAGCCAATGCATGTGGGCAAGTACAAGAATACAGAATTCCGTGTTTGTACTACTCTCTTCACATGCCTCTTGCAGCTTGCTCCTTGCAGCATGCACCCTGTCACTCTTGGTGCTGGCTGCCAGTCCAGTGAGCCCTGTGACTTATGATCCATTCCGTGTTGCTGGCATTTAAATCTGTTGCACTCTGGGCTATCTAGACCCCAGGGTGTATGTAGACCTGGTAATTTGTGATCTCTTGTTACTGGCAATTGGCCCCTGTGGCATGTATGTAAGATTAAGAATCTTTTAGGTTGGAAAAGCCCTTTGCTGTTGTTAAGTTCACCTATTAGCCTGACCCATCAAGTCCCATTACCAGGGTTGCGAGGGGCCAGCAATACCGGGTTCAAACTGTGATCAACCAGGACACGAATACAGGGACATGGTATCTTCCCTGGTCCTGCTGGCCACAGTATTTTTGAAGCAACTCAGGATATCATTGGCCTTCTTGACCAGGGAATGTTGCTGCATCGTGCTCAGCCAGCTACTGAGTAGCACCTGCAGGTCCTTTTTTGCTGGGCAACTTTCCAGACACACTGCATGTGGTTGTTTTGACTGAAGAGCAGCACTTGGCCTCTTTGCTTCTTTGCATGCCATTCAATTGGGTGTTGCCCGTGTATCCCTATCTAGGCTTTCTGTCCCCTCAGGGAGCCACTACTCTCGAGTAGTGTTGAGGTTATAAAAAAGGTGTAATAAGACTTGTTAATAGACTCATCAGATACAGGGCTTAGTTGGACAAGTGTCCTGTGTTTATTTCACCCTTACCCTGTCTTTGTCTCCCTGAAACATTCTATAATGTTTGTATGACTTCTCAAGTTCCCTCTAGTATTCCATATTTTTATATACTATCACTGCTTTGCTTCTGTAATACAATTTTGATTTTGTGGTGCCTCCCTCAAGGCTATCTTGAGTAGTTTCTTTTGACAGCCTATGAGTTAATGACTGCTTGCTTCTCATCTTTCTTGTCTCATTTCATATCTACTCACTAATATTTGTGCATTTATTTGCTTTATTGTTTTTCTTGTTACTTGTTATTTCTATTACACTAAATAATACTTAAACAGGTGATTTTATTAACCAGATGCTCTTATACTCCTTATACTCTTACAATGAGAAAGATACTGCTGTATGTTTAAGATTCTGGAATCATACTCCTTTTTGCATTCACTCTAGTTTTAACTCTGCTATTGAATTACTGCTATGAGTTGCTTTTTTCCTCCCTACTGCTTATTTCCTCAGGGGAGAAGGTTTGGTTATCTTCAGTGGAATTTCTTGTAGGTTTTAATGAAATCTGAGTATTATGTTTTTCCCAGAGCTGTAATGTTACAGGTCCAGGGGCATGAGTTATTTGTATAGATTTCTTATGTCTGAATTGTGCTAGGAGCCTCAGCTCTACACCTAGCCATGGCAACCTTCCATGTTATCCAACTGGTTTTGTGCTCATGGACCTGTCTTTAGATGACAGCACATAACAAACACAGCATAATGAACACCTGCTTATTCTAGAGAGACTAGAAGTGTTGTGACATCAGGCCCATCTTTGTCCCTGATTTGGTGAAAGCATGGTGTTCATGCTTTTTAAAATGTTTTAATTATTGAAGAAATGCAGCAATAGATTTCTATTCTACTAAAAAAGTGAGGAGAACAACTTAATTTAGTAGAAAAGCAGTCTAATGGTTTAGAATTTGTAACTGAAAATAACAGGTTTTTGTACTTCTGCATAGATGTGTGGATTTAAATATATTAAAGTATCTTTGAAATGACTTTGTGAGGTGACTCATAAGTTGTGGCGCAGATGCTGGGGGAAAGGAACAATTTCAAATTAAGTAATTTATTGCAGTGACTTATCCAACCCATTAAAATGGCTTGCAACCTAAAAATATTGTGTATGCTCCACTTTACTATGCATTAATACAATAGAATCTGTTGTATTAATGGCGAACTCTAGAGTAACCTGAATTACTTTAAGAAGAAAACTAAAATCCTTTGAGATAAAATAGGAGAAAATCATAAGACCAGCATGGGGATAGGTTCTAGGGACAAGAGGAATCTGGACTTGATGTTTTCCTTTCTAGCTTCAGAGTCCCATTCTTGAAACTTTCTGTGCTGACTGCAGGCTCAGGACCAAAGGGAGAACTCTGGTCAGGCAGTGAGCAAGCAATGATATATTCAGGATATTCATTATGGGAATAGCATTGGCTATTATCTGTGGAAATATCCCCAGATACAGGGAAAATGTAAAACCAGATAAAGAAAAATGATTATTTGAGAATGTTGTTTGGTTATATTGGCTATCCCTTAGGATTCCATGAATTCTTGAGTGTCTAGTTTGTATTTGCAGAAGTATTCCAGCAATGCTTCCATTTCTAGGGCATTTTTGTTGTTAGCTTGTAAACATGTTTATTGTTCATAATTCTTTACTTGGAAAAATTGAGTAATTCAGCTGAAAGTAGATAAAAGAATCACAGGGTTTAAACTATCAATTATAAATGAACAATCCTAGCACTTATGCAGGGTGTAATTTATTCAGAAAAATGCTGCAAGTAAGGAACATGGAGGATGTGGTGTTGATTTTTTCTGAGGTAGTTTGGGGATGAGAAATGATCAACCTTGATCACCTGTATATGTTTAGAAACACATGTAAAAGTAACTTGCCTGCATCTGAAACAGTCTAAGACTAGAGTGTAAGAAATCAATATTCAGAATAAATGTCAGCCCACCCAAAATTATATAAGGTGCATCGGCAGAGAACTAAGTTAAGCTATGAAAGTGAAACTTGTAGGAGGAGGTTAAGACTGAGGTATGCGAGTTGAGCTACATTTCTTGGAATGGAGTGGCAGCATATATTTTGCTAAGGGATGTTGGCAAGAGTTTTGAAGAGAAACATCTTCATTCCAGAATTACACCTTTGTAGCTGTCAGGAGTGAAGTGCTGTAACTAGATTTATGCTTACTGGGAGGAATCGGCCACCGACCTTCGAAGAAGGCAAAATCAAAATTGTGTGGTTTCTTTTTGCTGGCTAGGTATGCAGCCCTATTTCACTGTTTCCAGCAAAGTGTACTGCTCTTACCTAGTCACCAAGTGATACTGATATGCTGATTCACACTGAGATTATCCTGTTATGAGATTAGTTGTCTTTCTCTTGTGTCAGATCCCAATGCGCTAACAAGCTGGCCTGCTTACAGTATTCAGACATTATTCTAGTGAAAAAAGCACATGATAAAGAGCACAGGAATAAAAACACTGACAGAACATCATGCTTTTTTAAATCTCCACTTGGGCTTTGAAAATCAATGTTCCATTTGCTAAAAGCCATTTAACAGGCATTTCTGTGATCAAACATCTGAGACTTGAAGGAAAGTGGGACTGCTCTCTGGGAGGAATGATTTAGTGATCAGACATCTAACATAATGATAATGGAAGAGTATAAAACCCATTTTATTTTAAATATTTGATTTTGTTAAGAGTGTTTTCTCTAATGGTTTAGCTGCTCTTGTTTATAGTTTATAGGTTACGCTTCCACTTACAGATAATGTGAGAGGTTTGTGCAAACACTTTAAAGCATTTCACCCTACAGTGTGTGTGTACTGTGGTTAAATTTATACTGATTTTACATTCATGAATTTATATAATCTGATATAAACATAAGTGACTTCATTCTCACTGCATACTGCTCAGGCTGGAGAG